CATTCTTGCAACCTCTTAAGCCTGTTCACACTCTCGCAACCGAGTATGACATAGAGAAACCGAGACTTGCTAAAACCTCTTAAAATTTCTTAGGACAAGAGAACACACTGGCACGCTGGCGCCATCTATGCGGTGACCCTGGAACTGCATTTCACAAGAGCAAAGGTTTTGCGGTATTTCCGAGGTCAAATGTGCGTAATACCTACAAGAAAGGCTCGTTCATAATGTTGACAAAAGTTTTTCGAGCAAAGAAAGGATAATGCGCGAGAGAAATAGAAAATATGCCGGAATGCCAAGTTTACACTGCTAACCAATAGATAGCGCCAGTGTGTCCTCTTGTTGCTTGATACCAGACTTTACCGACGAGGATGGCCAAAGAAACCAAGGAACTGAAGATGACCGCAACTATCGGGAAGCCGCCGGAGTTCCAGGCAGACAGCGGAAATTTCGAGATTTATCTCGAACGCTTCGAGCTGTTCGTGGCAGCCAATGACATCGCAAAAGAAAAGGAACTCCAGGTCTTCTTTACAGCCATCGGTGAGAAAGCTTACACCGTTCTCCGGAGCCTGCTTCTGCCGAAGACGCCGAACAAGGTATCGTACCATGAGGCAGGAGGCCGTCAGCATATTTCAAAAACACTACGCACCTAGACGCTCACTGGTCACAGACCGATTCCGTTTCAATCAACAAAACCAAGGGCCTCACGAGACCGTGACTGACTAAGTCGTCGAACTGAAGAAGCTCGGAGCGACACGCGAGTTCGGCGTGTACCTCGAGGAAGCTCTACGCGACAGACTCATCGCGGGTCTGCACCCTGACACCATACGCTGTCGTCTTCTCGTAATGCCCGACACAAAAGTCACCTGGGACTGTGCATGCAGCATAGCTACGGCCATGGAAGCGGCGGCTCAAGACACAAAGGAAATGCTGACGTCAAGCAACGCGGGACAACCTCCAAACACTGCGGACGTCAAATGGGCAACAAGCACCGGCCCCACCACGTCGGACAGCGACAACGAACATGCCGACCAAGTCAAAGGGGCATGGACAGGAAGCGGCGAAAGCTGTGGAGCAAAGAACTAAAAAACCGTATCGTTGGTGTGGAGGACAACACTTACCTGTAAGTTGCCCTTTTCTGAACAGCGCTTGTTATAAGTGTGCTAAAAAGGGACATGTTACAAAGATGTGCAAAAAACAAAAGTTGTGCAACACGTAGCCGAGAGTGAGTGTGACAGCGAATTGCTCTCGTTGTGTCGCACGAACCAGAGTTCGGGCACGCCTACCATTTTAATTACCGTCTCGTTAAATGGTAAGAAAGTTCCGATGAAACTAGATACAAGGCCGCAGTGTCGGTAATGTCCAAACCAGAGTGCGCGAAGCACTTTCCTCATGCAAGCTTTAGAAAATTGAACGTCAAACTCGTGACATACACAGGCACGCGCACGATAAAAGGAATTGTGGACGTGCAAGTTTGCTACCATGACCAATGCTTTCAATTGCCACTGGTTATTGCAAAAGAAACTGAGGGCACAAGAATGCCTACGTTATAGTCAACCGGCAATGGCCAGGCGGCGCCAGCAGAGTCAGAGCACATGGTTATACCCTGTTTCGTTGTAACTTGGCAAAGGGTGGACGATAAGCCCCATACTGCGTGCTGAAGGCTTTGAAATGCGTGGCGTATACGAGCGCAGCACACACGTATTGGCAGTCTAAAAGCATTGGTGCGTGCATTGGTACGATAGATTTTTTTCCACCCGAAATCTGGCTGGCACCTAAGCATACCCGGTTAGGCAGCACGCAACACAAGCCAACAGGGCGACTGGCAACAAAACGCTCGTCTCCTCGCTGACCGGTGCAAGGAGGGGGTAAAACGTCTTCAGAGATGCAGCAGTGCCCCACTCCGTGTTTCCCCCAAAAAAAGAAAATTCCTTAAGCGTGCTCAGTTTGTGCGCAGCAACACTCGGCCGGCGTCGTAGAGAGGCTTAGGGGAGGCAGCCACTGAAACTATACGGAGGGTTTGCAATTTCATAGTACTTGCCTCCTTAAGCTCCCGGGAAAATGCAAGTGCACATGCATTGCCATGGGTCAAAGAATAAAGCAGGCAGAGACAATCCATGCTTTCGTCATTGCAGCTCCAATTGCAAACGCTGCTCCACGCGGCCCCGATTGAGCAAGGGACAATGTGCAAAACCAAGGCGCCCCTAGCGGCTCGGGGGCATTCTGGGAAACGTCTGTCAACCGAGAGTTTCTTCCGTCGGACCGCGGCTAGCCACGAGCGAATATTGCGGACCTGCACCACGCCCTTCAATGCAGTGTACCTCGCAGAGTCTTCGTAGGTTGACTTACGCGTGTATCTGATGCAGTAAGTATAGACCTTTCCAGCGGCAGTCTCGAACGAAGCGATTTACAGCGCGCGTCCCCGGTTTTGAGAGTGTATGTCAGTGTTGCCCGACTGCGCTGAGCTGTGGAGTTTCTCGTCAATGCGCTGTGGCAGCCTGCGTAGGTGAAATTTCGGACGCTGGTGGAGGCTAAATTGCCGAGTTTTCTTTTTTATTTTGTGTTCTGTGGCGAATATAAGTTATAGAGGTATTTAAGAAAGCAGTGCTCTATTTTTGGGAACAAAAACAAAGAAGTGAAAGCTGTTTCGGTGAGTCCGTGCGCGACAGAACAAATGCAACTGGAATGGTTGTTTCATTTTATGTTCAACGTTTTACGGCACCGTACACTCAGCCGTGTCAATCTATATAGGTCAAAATATTTGACCACACAGGATATCTGAACTGCATGGATATTCCCCCACCCACAACATGAAATTCAATGAGTCTCATTAATCGAACAACATATATTGTACGTACCCCACGGTGCCGCGTTATCCGAACAGGATTTGAGGAAGGTCTCAAATAACACAGCATATCCTATATACACTGTCGACGATAGCCACTTCGCGGCAATCGGACGGAATCCGGCGCGTTTTGGGGAACATGTAGAAGAGAGCAGCTTTTTTGCACAGCTTCAAAGCAAATGAACGAACGTGTCTATTCTGTCCCCACACCCCGGACCCGACCCTATCAGCTATTTTTCGCGAAGACCCAGAACACAGCCGGGAAGGCTTTTTGGAAATTATCTCAACGGAAATAATCCTCCAAGAACGTCGAACTGCCTGGGTCACGGGCTGCTTGACGGTCGCTCTCTTCATTCGTTTCCTGCGAAGGCCGAGCAGCCTACGAGCCCTGGTATTATCTGGTTCTCACAGTGGAAGATAACATACAAAGGGTAAGCATTCTAAACAGGCGAATAAAGTAAAAACTTCAAGAAAAGCCAGCGAACTCCGAATGCAAAATGCGGGTGGGGAGTCACGCTGGCCGGGTTTCCACAGCTCAGGCGGGTGCTAGAAATTTCTGGCTGATAGGGGGCGCTCGATTCGCAAAATGGCGGCGGCCAGAGCGCTCTTTTTGCAAAGGTCTATACCCTTCGACACTTTATCTAACGGTAACTGATTCAAGGGGGAGGCAATCTTGGGAAAGAGGAAGATGAGGTAGCAGCTAGTGGCCAAATGAATTGAGCGATGAAAGTAAAAGATGGCTGAAAGGGACACTGACGGGGTTTTAATGCTCGCCGAGGTTTTTATTTCAACGTGACCTATGTGAGCCCCACTACCAAGAACACAATTTGCGGCTCGAAGTTTTTTTCTTTTCACCCGAAAAGGGCCGGTCGAGAATTGGCCCGTTTCAGTCACACTCACTCTCTTTTTCATGGTGACATGGGATTCAAACTATGTGGGCCAAAGATATTCAAAGTTGTGGGCCATCTAAAGCAGAGCTACATAAAATTTTCAGGCCCGCGACCCCTAAAACACTTGAACGCCGTCCAGTGACTTAGGTCAGAGGTCCGCAAAAAAGGGGTCACGGGGGTCTAAGAAAGCTGAGCTGCCAATAGCTTTGATATTGCTATAAAGGGAAGGATCTTTAGAGCAGCAGCAAAGCTATTAGTGGCTTGACTTTCTTAGACTATCGCTTTGCACACCTCTGACCTAAGGCACACATTCAATATTAAAAAAAAAAGGCTCAAGCTGTACCTGAGCACTTCTTACGAGTTGTGAATGCGAAGCATGTACGTCTGCAGCATATATGCGTAACATATTTCTATAGATGGCAGAGCAGCGTGCTCTGCCGGTCAGGAGAGTGCGCCCTTTCCTCGCTGCTCTGACCTTAAACGCTTCGTGTTAGCAGCGTGCCGACGAACACACAGCGTCATGGGGCAGCAGTCGTTGAAACTGATGCACAGCGGCCAATGGGAGCCTCGTCGACATGCGCCAGCCAATGGGACCGAAGCCGAAATCCATCAGCTTTACTTCACTACTTTGAAATCGGGGAAACTAGGCGCTGTATGGCTAGGCTTTTCGCGTGGTTTCATAGCTGGGAGCTGGCTGCACTTGAAGAAAGGATTTAGGGTTCTGTTCGGCACGGTTTCAAAGCTGATCACGTCGGCTCGCTCCCTAAGACAGTTAATGCTTTCGCATTAAAATATAGAATGAATATGAACCCAATTTCTACGGCCTCCAAAAAACTGCAAAAACATTGATTGAAAAAAAAAAAAAAAATGTTGCCCAGATCCCAGGAAGTGCATGTACATGTATGTCATCCTCACTACGACGACGTACCGCAGGCTGGACGACGCGACGGCGGCGCACAACGGACCAACGTTGCAACCAACATGGGGCCGCTACTTTGAAACTGTCGTCCGTGGTAGCGGCCGATCGATCTTCCACAGCTGAACATCGAGTGGAAGGGATACAAGTACGAAACAATCGTACGACAAACAGTGCAGGCAACTTCGCCGTTGTCGTCTGCTCCACACGCCAAACAAGTGGAAAGAAAAAAACACGGTCTGGTGTAGCCCTGCGACCTCCGGCATCTCTCTTCACCTCGGTACACATCGGCCACGTGGCAAAGCCATGAGCTTCCATGCTTATGTTTCAATTTCGAGCACTTGAGTTTTTTTTTTTTTTGCTTTACTGAAAATATACACGACTTAGTAGCAAAATATTGATTGGGTAGTCTCCTGACGCCATAATAAATTGCCTGGCAAACAAGAAAAGAAAAATTTGGGGGGCGGGGTTAGTGTTCCTTTAAGAATGATGGACAAAACACGATGTAAAGACAGTGTGAAAGCCCGACACTAATGTTGGTGCTGGTCCTGGAAGTCTGTTGAAGTCGAAAGCCCCCAAGGAGTTGGCGTGTAGAGGAGTGTACGTATATTAAGATTAGGTTTAGTTTCGCTGAAGCGATGTGGCTTGCCTTCGCCTTGCATCAGTCGCCGTCTGATGAAGTCACGAAAAGCATGCTTACATACTGCATAACATGCACACGCAGGTCAACTTACGAAGGCTCGGATCAACCTCCGCAGGTCGACCTACGAAGGGGCATGGTGCAGGTCCGCAGTGCCCGCTCGCAGCTGGCTACCGTCTGATGGAGGGAACTGAAAGTGAAGCCTTTGTTGACAAATGTTTTCCAGAACACACCCGACACGCTAGGGGTGCCTCGGTTTTGCATTGTCCATTAAAAGCACTCTGCAACCTAGGCGCACTGCTGTACTACCGCGTTCCCATTGTGTTTTTCTTTCCGCGTGCTCTGTCCCTCGAGAACTTGGCACCTACTACAGACCCACTGCAGAGGATGGCACCCACATATAAGACAGACTTCTGTCCAGCTCACGTGCTTACCGTGCAGGACAGAAGGCTGCAAGATCAGCTGTTGGCACAGGTGCTTTGAGGGGTACTCCCAGCTCCTCAAACAAGTGAATGAGGCTCCACAGGGTATGGTCGGTTTGCCTTGCTGCATACCCGGCATTTGATAAGGTGAGGCTCGTAAAAAGATTGAAAAATAAAAATTGCCTGAATCGGTACTGCCTCAATAAGCACAGCCGATTTAAAGCCAATTCCATATAAATTAATTGGATCCTTGGATCAAGTGGGAATTTCACCAAAAAGCCAATTGGGAACTGTACTTAGAAAAAACTGGGCCACGCCAAGAAACAGCCCAGGAAAGATTGACACGGAGAAACGATCTTGCAGAGCCCGACACCAGCCCAACCCCACGAAGGGGCAATCAAGGGCAACACCAGTGGGTCAACGATGGTTGAGGGCATCCCTGCGCCAACTGCCGCAGTAGGGATATTTGCTTTGCCCCCCCCCCCCTCCCAAGGGCAGACCCCTGCTCGGGGGCCCACCCCTCAGTGGAGGGATAGTCGCCAGAGCCTCCGTTGCAGCATACAAGCTGGCAGGGCGCACCACGTGCAGGTGGAGGTTGACTTCCCTCGCGGCATCTCACCACAAAGGCTTGCGCCCCGGTTTCAACAAAAAACTACATTGAAGTGGACATGGACGAGACAACATTAACATTGTTATCAGCTGTGCTTCAGTTCAGGCCATGGCTGCCTGCGCACCGCCTTTGATGGCAACACGCACAATGTCGTGTGGTCGGCTTGACTTTGCTACCATAGGGAAAAGTCCGCCACCTGTGCACCGTGGTCGGGCAACTGGGCTGGGAGCCGCCAGGGTGCCCACACTTCCCCCTCAAACTTCGTCCGGCACGTCGACGATGGTGTCGTTGTCGTGGGCATCAGGGTGGATGGCACTGCTGGCTGGACTGGCATAGCAAGTCCGGTCGGCGCGGCTGGACGAGTGCGATGGCCCGTTCGCGGTCGCGCTCACCGAGTTGGTTGATGCACGCAATGCGTTCGGCGTCTGCCCTCTCCCTATGAAGGCGCCCCCGTTCGTGTGCCGCCCGACAGAGGTGTGCTCCTTGAACACGGTCCAGGTGGCGGCGGTCTGCTGTGGCCATCCGCTGCGTCGCCGGCACAGGCCGGGCCCTTGGGGCCGTCCTGTAGGGGGTGGCCACGGTCCACGGCCCCCTGGGGTGCCCCTGTTGTGCCGACGGACGTCCTTGGTGGCCTCGTCCACTGCCAGCCCGGCCGCCATGTCGTCCCGATGGCGGTGTGCGGTGGCGGTGTTGTCCACGAGCCATCTTCTTGGAGAAACGAGGAAGCAGATGCCGTGCGTGCTTAGTTGTGGGTTCAGCCTGACATTATATTCGCATCGCTTCGAGAAAGTTCGAAATAAGGTATCTGAGGTGGGCACACAATCTTCTTCCCATCTCTCTTGAAAAGGGAGCGGATCCGTGGAAGCAGAAAACTACCCCCAAAATGCGAGAGAGGCAAAGCTGAGGGGACAAGAAAGAAAAGGGTTCCTCTCCCTTTGGTGTCACCGACGTCGCAGGTTATACCGCCGCCTTGGTGGAGACAACGGGGTTTCCAAAATGGGTCTGCCATCAGTGTCATACCGGTCCTGCGAAGAATCTTCGTCTTCTGCTTGAAAAAATTGTTTAAGGTCAGTGACATGAACAAGTCCGGTTTCTTCACTAGACTCGCAGTGAACTAGTTTGTAAGTGAATGGTAAGCATTTTTTATGCACGCGAAACAGACCTTCCCACCTGTTTGCGAGGGAGGCTGCGAAGCATCGAGCGGCGTCACTCAGTGAGTGAGTACACCGGAGTACAAAATCTCCCACCATGAACAGCAGGTCACGTTGCCCTTGGTTGTACTGTTCTGCCTGCTGTACTTGGGCGACGTCGAGATTTTCTCGGGCCTCTTGAAGGTTATCGGAGAAGCGCTTTAGGAGGTTCTCTCCGAACTTCACTTAGGAGCAAAGACTTACCCCAGACTCTGTAGAAAAAGGCTGCTAAAAAGTGGAAACAATGGCTCCTTGCCGAAATTTAATTGGGCAGGAGTGAGACCCATTCACCAATAAGTGGTAGTAGGGGTTGCGAATGCCAGCTCCAGCAGTTTCACGTCCCAGTCCTTGTGGCCCTTGGTGCAGGCCACTAACATCATCATAAGGTTCCGATTTACCCTTTCCGTGATGTTTGCTTGTGGGTGGTATGGAGAAGTTCTTTTGTGTTTAATTCCCAAAACCATGCATCTGTCCACGAACACCTTACTCGTTATGTAAGAGGCGTTATCGCTTACAAGCTGTGCTGGAAAGCCGAACCTAGCGAATGTTTCAGACAGCCCCACGTTTCTTGGAAATCTAGCTTTCGTACAAAAAACAACTCGACCCACTTCACGAAGTGGTCAGTTACCACGAACAAGTACTGATTGCCGCGGGGACTATGTGGGAAGGGGCCACGACATCACAGCAACAAATCTGACAAAGGCTCTGGCTCACGATTGTTTCCATGAGACCGGAGAGGCTAACAAGCATGTGGTTTTGCCTTTTGGCACACCGAGCAACTACGAGCATATTGGAGCACATCCTGCCTCATGCCTGGCCAGGTAGCGACTTAGGATAACTTTTCGTAAGTTTTGCTCCCACTGCTGTGTCCTGCCAAGGCAGAGTCATGCATGTATAGAATGAAAAGCTTACGGAGCTTGCGGGGTATCACGGTCCGGAACGCCGAGCCATCCGGATCGTCGTCGGCCTGGGGATGTAGCGCAGCAAGATGCCATCTTCACTCATCAAGTAGGAGTCAAACTCCTTGTCACTTGGGCAGTAGACTGGACCTCTTGCTGCCAGCCAAGTGGACACGCGTTGGCAGAGTCCGTCATCCAGCTCTGCCTTGCGAAGCTCCTTGCAGCTCACCAATGTACCTTACCGTGAATCTGGGGATCCTCGTGCCATGGCCACGATGGTCACCGAACCATGGGCTTTCGCGAGTGTTCCTTGGGAAGTGGAGCACGAGAGCGCATCAGTAACTTTGTTGGTTGACCCCGGGCAGTACACGATAGAGTAGCTGTACTTTTGTAGCGTAAGCACCCAACGAGCAAGACGTCCAGCTGGATTCTTAAGTCCTCTTAGCCATGAGAGCGCTAAGTGATCAAATTGAATCTGGAACATTGCGGCATCCAGGCACATGTTGAAGCACTTCAAAGCATAAATAATGGTGAGACATTCCCGTTCCGAGACACTGTAGTTGCGCTCGGCTGGAGTTAGCGTGTGACTTGTGAAAGCAACTGGTCGAATGTCTGATGGGTGAATCTCGATATGAAGAAACCCGCGACTGCAATCCAGCTTTGTAAACACGTTCACATTACCGAGCGCATACATCACAAAAGAAATGCTGGGGAAAGGGTTAATGTCTTGTAAGGACACATCAATAAGCTGCCTGTAATCCACACAGTCTGGCTGTTCAGTCTTTTTTTGGAGCGAGAACAATGCGGAAAACCTAAGGTCTCTTTAACTCCCACACTGAACCGGTGTCAATCATCTCCTCGAGCGCCGCATCTAGGAGTGCCCTTTTGTAGACGCTGATCGGTCGAGGGTTGCACCTCCAAGGCGGCGGGTCACCGGTTTCAATGCGGTGTAGCAGGACGTCAGTTTTTCCAGGCATTTCCGTGAACGTCGGTGAGAAAGACTCCAGGACTGCTTGCAGCTCCTGCTTCTGCTGACGAAAATAAACCCTGGAGAAGGGCAATAAGTGGGACAAAGGACAAACAGATATCTTCAAACAACCCCACCGTGAATCTCGGGATCCTCATGCCGTGGCCACGACAGTCACCAAGCCATGGTTATCCTGCGAGTGTCTCTCGGGAAGTGGAACAACGAGAGAGCGCACTTTTGCAACGATTCTCAAACGCCGGCAGGCAAGACGTCTGGCACCGTGGTGAAGTGGGCTGCAATGGGTGGGTTCCGGATGCGGTCCTCCCATCTGGCAAATAGAGTCAGCTCTGGTTGTTGTCCCAGCCGGTATCCGCCACAAGAAAAGTCAAGTGTCATGTTTTTGCCTGTAATAAAATCTCGGCCCAAGATCACGGGTACTAAGAGTCCTGGCAAATAAAGAAAACACTGACGCTGCTTCTTTCCATTAAACCGAGTCCGCAGCCTCATGGCTCCTCCAGCTGTTATCGCTGTGCCAGAAGCTAGCTGCAAACGAGCTTCGCATTCCCGGATGCTTACCTTTTTTGCTTTGCAGAGTTCGACAATGAAATCCCCTATAAGAAAGATAGAGGCCCCAGAATCCAAAAGTGTGGCAATGAAAAATCGAGCAGTGAAATCGTCATGTGCGGTTTCATGATGTTAGGCTCGGGCTAGATTCAACATACCGATGGAATCCGTGCAGCGGCTACACTGTCCCCAGGGACTGTAACGGCCGTCGGCTAGTGGCTGTCTGGTTTCAGCGTTGCTGACCGTAATAGTTTCCCTGGTTGGTCTGGTTCTGGCTCTTTGCCGCCGTCTTGGCCACCTCTTGTCTGTAGTGTCCAGAAATCTTGGACACCGGTTTTGGTGATAGCCGTGCTGCTCGCACTCGTACCAGCAGTCCAACGACAGTTGGACTGCTTAGGCAACCCTAGGGCTGGGCAGTATCGCGATAGTATCATAGAGATACTTTAGAGTATCTGTATCTTTATGTAAATACATTAGAAAAGCTACGTAAATACATTAAAAAAATGTATTTGTATCTCAGTTCTGAAATACATTTACGACGTATTGCTTGTATCGCAATACTTTGTCATACTTAGGTATCTCGTAACATTTGTTGTCATTTTTAAGAAAAATTTAAAAGATAAAACATCAGTTTGGTGCAAGCTGCTTCGTAATTTATAATATGAACCCGTCCTATAACATAATTCATCATCTCTAGCCCCAACATAAAGGCAAAAAAACTGGTTTAAAACTGTGGAAAAAGACACAACGTCTTTTGCGAGCGTGGAATGCAGTCTTTACCTTTCTGCAACTATTGTAAAGACTTATTTTTCGTGAGCTCAATATTTTGTGATTTAGGTCAAACCTGAAGTTCTGGATTTATTTGCAGGTTCTAATTTCCACGACGCTGTGGGATCTCAATACAGTTAAACCTCGATGTAACGAAGTCGGTAAAATTCGCAATTTACTTCGTTACATTGAAATTTCGCTAAATCGAAATTTGGCTTTAGCATGCGAAAAAAAAATTCCGAAACATTTTACGGGTATGAAAACTCACCGAAAATGACATTTATTTAGGGGCAAAGTAGTCCGCGAGTTTTGCTTGCGCCTTGTCCGACAGTAGCAGCGGCGTCATACTGGTCATACGGCGTTCGAGCGCCCAGAGCGCTTGCACGGCATCTTGCTGCCCATGCGACGCCGTGTACCTCCTCAGTACGTCCATTGCGTCGAGCACTTCCCGAGTGCTCGTGATCTCGGCAGTTTCTTCAGGATGGCGTCCAAAACGTTTGCTTTCTCATCCAAAGAAAGAACTTTACGTTTCCTTATGGCAGCAAGCACGTGAGTGAACCGCCCGGTTAAAAATTAAAGCTGTTTAGTTTAGGCGGTGCCAATGTTTCCAACCTACACAGCACTCTTGCCCGCACAGTTTACTTGCCCCCTTGCGCCCACAGTGTACTTGCGCCTTTCCTTTACATCACGCTCGCAAGACGATAATCGGTCTTCTCCTAGATGGCACTGCCCGTGCGGTCGCGCCATCACGTCGCTCCCCTGCTGAAGTTGGCTCCCGCGGTACAGTGGACTATGATGATCAGTGAATGTCAGTGGTGATGCTGTTATGCCGTGTTAACTTTTTGCTCGCCATTTTCTGGCCACTCCCGCGGAATCCGCTTTGCCGCATGCCTCGCCGGCGCTACCGGCGCCGCATCCTCGGGCAGCCTAGGAACGTTGGAAGGCCTGTCCCCGTGAAGTAACCTATCAAGCGCTCGCGTTTGTGCATAATTTTTTTTTTAACCACAATTTTTTTGCGAAGTTGTTTTTTAGAGTTGATTTATTTATTGCCTTCTATGGCAATGGCGCTTCGTTATATTGAAATAGCAGAAAAATAGACTTCGTTATATTGAGACTAAAGATACATGGGGTCTATGGGCAAGAAACTGTGAAAAATAAAATACTTCGTTAAATCGAGGATTTCGTTACATTGAAGTTCGTTATATCGAGGTTCGACTGTATAGATTCCAATGTGTTTAGATTTAGCGGAATTGATCGGGGGGACCTATTTTTCGCGAATTGTAGGCGATTTGCGAAAATTAGGTCCTCGTGAAAATGAGG